TTTCTCTACTTTCTTTCTAATCATAGGGAAGGCTTTTCCATGTTCAGCATCAGGCTTTCTCCTGCAAGTAAGCTGAGGTGTGGTCTAGGTGTGTTCAAATCTGTCTTAGTCATTCATCCTTCACCTTGTCATTAGCATGGCGTCTGTATTTAATTGGGCTTCCTTCCTTCATCAGAAATCAGTTTTTATATACCATGAAAACTACAGCCCATTATTAAAAGTTAGCTCTAAGCGAGATTCTTGGCTCTTATTTATACAAGAAGCAGTGAAAAGAGTATCTCAAGTATTCTTTCAGATGAGTGGTATGTATGAAGAATGTACTATTTGCAAGTCCAGCATCCTGCCTCAAAGCCTTCTATTTCTCAAGTTTTACCTCATAAGCAACTTGTTTAAGAGGGTTTTTTTGCAATCTGTTGGGTTGCATGTTAGGTTGCAATCACCAATGACTTTCACTAGTTGCATCTTTGTCTCACACAAAATGCTGCCGAGTTACTGTTGTGGTTAGTGTTTCAATTGTCTTTAGAAACAGCACTGAGATCAGCACTCTATTTTGTGTATAATAAAGGTTGGTCCCTCCTCAAAAATGTTTATGTTTTGAAGGGGAAATGAGAGAAAATATTACCCTGGTTTTAGAAAGTGAGATGCTGTGCTCGGGAATCTGAGGCTCCTGGTGGACATCAAGTTGACCATGAGCCAGTAGTGAGATCTTGCAGGAAATGCAGACAATGACACTAAGCTGAGTAGTGCAGCTGCCACACCTGAAGCACAGATGACATCCCAAAGGGCCTGAATAAGCTTGAGAAATGGGCCCATGGGAAACTCATGAGGTCCAACAAGGCCAATTGCAAGGTTCTGCACTGGGTCGGGGCAACCCCTGGTATCAGTCCAGGCTGGGGGAAGAACAGATTGAGAGCATCCCTGCTGAGAAGGACTTGGGGGTGTGGGTTCATAAGAGGTAGTGGATGAGAGGCTGGACATGGCCAGCAAAGTGCACTTGCAGCGCAGAAAGCCAGTTTATCCTGGGCTGCATCAAAAGCAGTGAGGCCAGCAGGTTGAGGGAGGGGATTCTGCCCCTCCACTGTGCACTTGTGAGATCTCACCTGGAGTGTTGCATCCAGCTCTGGGGTCCCCAGCAAACAGAAAGGTGAAGAAGAGGGCCGCAGAGATGAGTAGAGGGCTGGGACATCTCTCCTATGAAGGCACCCTAGAATAGTTGGGGCTGTTAAGCCTGGAGAAGAGGAAGTCCACTTTATTGTGGACTTCTAGTACCTACCTAAAAGGGCCCTACAGGGGACCTAGAGAGGGACTTTTTACAAGGGCATGTAGTGATGTATCTAGGCTTTAAACAGAAAGAGAGTAGATTTATATTAGATATAAGGAAGAAATTCTTCATTATGAGGGTAGTCAGACACTGGAACAGGCTGTCCAGAGAAGTTGTGAATACCCCATTCTGGAAGTGTTCAAGGCCAGGTTGGATGGGGCCTTCAGTAATCTGGTCTAGTGAAAGGTGTCCCCATCCATGGCAGGAGGGTTGGAACTTGATGATCTTTAAGGTTCCTACCAACCAAAATCATTCCATTGTTCTATGAATCTGTAATTCCATGTATTAACCTGCATTAAGTGCATTGCCACCAGGTCAAGGTAAGTGATCCTTCCTCTCTCTTCATTCCTGGTATACTAATCTGGAGTCCTGCATCCAGTGCTAGGCTCCAAAATGCAAGAAGGACATGGATATACTGGAGTGACTCCAGTAAAGTGACACGATGGTGACTGAAGAATTGCAGCATCTGACATATGAGGACAGGCTGAGAGAGGTGGAAATGTTTGGCCCAGATAATAAAAGGCCTGTGTAAATCTTAACAGTGTGTATAAACACATGATATTTTATAGGAAAAATAAGAGATAGCCTGTGCTCAGTGGGATCTAGTGATAGGACAAGGGGCAGTGAGCACAAATTAAAATAATCAAGATAGCCTGTGCTCAGTGGGATCTAGTGATAGGACAAGGGGCAGTGAGCACAAATTAAAATAATCAAAGTTCCATTTAAATGTAGAGAAAACCTGTTGTCAAACACTGAAACACAGAGATTGCCCAGAGAGATTGTGGAGTCTCCATTGTTGGAGGAAAGCAAAACCCAGCTGGACACCGTCCTGAGCAACTCACTTCAAATGACCCTGCTTTGAACATGGGGTTGAACTATGTGGTCTTTAGATTTCCCTTCTTCAATGCTTCTGTCATTCTGCACCCAGGAGTACACCTGAGCACAGGATGTCTGCTGTCTGCTTTGACCCAGCTGAACTTGGCACAGGATCAGAGGGGACTGCTCCCCACATCCGAGATCACAAGATAGTAAGCTGATCTAAAGACTTGCTCTATTTAACACCCATGTTCCTAGGCTTCCACCCCCTGTCCCCAGGCCATGCTTGTAACTGGGATCACCTGCATTCAATGGCATCCCGGCTGCATTCCTCTTCTCTGGGCACAGGGCCATGTGAGTGGCCCAGGAGTTGATATCACAGCTCTTGCTGCCAGTGGATTCCCCATCTGGGAGTGGATAGTCAGGTACACATACAGCAGCACTTGCTAATACAGCAAAACAGTGTTTTAAGCCCTGAACCTCTTAGAATCATCACTGGCTTCACCTGGAAACAATCAATCCCAGCCACAGATATAGAGGAGACAAAGGAAGCTAGGTCACAAAAATTCAGGTTGTCCTGGTGCATCAAGCCTTGTTCTCCTGCCTTAGTGGCAGCAATACTATAGTCACTAGAAATCAAGTTATGACTCTCTTGCTCATAAAATAGACTGGGGCAACTGAGATGTGTATGAATGTTTGGTCTTAAGAAACAGTAGTTTCAGTTTGAGGAAAATGGATTTGAATCTAACAGGGTGATCTGATAGTCATGAATAATAAAAAGTCACATGTGAAACATATTCAGTAAAGTTAAGTGTCCAGTAAAACTAGTTTCGACATCATACTAATCTCTAAAATTATAATGCATGAGTCATAACCCTTAGATGATCTTAGCCTTTACTAGAGGATACTCTGCTTTGTGTTCAGCAGCATAAACAACTGAGCAAGGACCCGCGCAGATCTAGTGAATACAACAGGACACTTTTGACTTTACTGTAAGTAATGGTTTGTTTTGTTTTTTTTTTTTCTCTGTGTAACAATAGGACAACAGTTTTTGAATAATCAATCAAAAAATTATTGTGTTTTGGTTTAAAGCTTCTCATACTGTTTTACTACGATTTTGGTTTTTTAAAATAAAAAACTCTCTGTGTGAGATAGGCATGCTTATACAACATAACTCTCCTTAGGAAAACTACATTCCTAAGTGTTTTAAATGAAGTAAAATGATGATAATAATAAATGTAAGGCATGAAATGAAATGAAATGAAATGAAATGAAATGAAATGAAATGAAATGAAATGGGGACTTAAGGATTGAGATCTAAAGCATCTAGAGGCTTCAAAAAAAAAGAAACTGTGGCTAAAAGAATTAGACTGATGGTGGACAAAGTCATAAACAAATCAAGGAGCTTAAATTGAAACATGTTCTAGATATGAAAATGCACTGCCTGAAAGTGGTTTGTCGTGGGGTTCAGGCCCTTCCTAGTGATAGTAGTATTTCTATGACCATGATGTTTAAAGACTGTGAATTAAAGGATATTAAGAGCATACATTATTAAAGCAGAGATAAGCATTCTTAGTTCACTGGGTTTTAGAGAACAAGATGCTGGAAAAAGTGGAGAACACAAATGTGTGGCCATGGTGGGAGCTGATTAGGATTCAATGATTTTATAAGGCAGTCTGCATTTCTCAGTACAATTCAGAAACTTAAGATGTTTTTCTCCTAGAGAGTACTTTGTTTTATAAAAGATTCTGTAGGTGAAATGATCACATACCACAAGTGGATGTTCTGGATTTCCAGATATTCCACAGCTTTACCTCTTTCTGTTGTCACAAGTTATTGAACCACTTGTGATACAGTATTAATTTCTAGAGGTAAAAGTATTGCCACAGATGTGGAATGAATGGTTTCCTTGCTGCTCTGGAAAAGGCTTTCCTACCCCGTCCATATGTTTCAGTGTTATTGTTCCTCCAGAATTCAGCCATTGACATCTTCACTTTTAACCATTGCAGCCTTCTCTGCAAAATCACCCTTTTCTATCTTTGTGATGATAAAGAGTGTGACGGTTCTAGATTCCTCTATTTTATTTTATTTTATTTTATTTTATTTTATTTTATTTTATTTTATTTTATTTTATTTTATTTTATTTTATTTTATCTTTAGAGGATTAGATTCAGTCACTGGGCTGGACGTGACTTTGCATACAGCAGGCATGGTTATTTCCATTCGCTGTTTGTTCCATGAACATACTCGTTTTCTCTTCCTTAATAAACAGCACTGTGTTTCCATGGTCTTGATAATATCCTAATTGCTATTTCTCTCTTCTGTTGTTTATGTGGATGTTGGTTTCGTTTAACGGTGCTGAATTGTTCAGCCTTTGTGAAATCACTGTAAATGTTCTTCAGTTCCTCATTAACAAGTGCATTTACTTTCTCCTTGGTGCCTGCATACCTGTTTACACGGAGCCCATTCAAAAATGTATAATATTTTAACTTTCACGATGGAAGAATATAGTGCTTTTCTTTTGGTTTGATTTTAATCAGTTAAATTTTTACTTTGTTCTATAGACCTGTACTTTTGACTTATAGCTCTTCATCACTTAAAGCCACATTGAAAAGAGAACACTGGAAAAAACCAGTTTCAAAGGAATTGTAGCCTAACTTTAATGAGGGCGTCTTTGGTATTACCTCATCCCTCTTTGACTTTGATTTTTATTATTTCATAATCTCTTGAGTTGGTTGAGTAATTTTCCACAGTCTACTTCCTTTAAATAGAAAGCTGGTACCCCTCAATTCAAATGTCTTGGAGTCATTGGTACTAAGCTAACTTTGTATAGTGAGGGTATTGATATATTGCTAAACACAAGGTGAAAAAATTTGTAAGCCAAACATAATTTTTCTTCTATTACAGAGTCACAGAAACATGAAGAAACTGTTTTTCCTGTGTATTTTACTTATTGGAATTCATTCCAACAGTTATTGCTATGAGCCTAACCACCAAGGGGTAAGAAACCAAAATCAAAGAGCCCAAGGAAATCGAAACATGCCATGGCAAAGTGTAAGGAGCAGTGTTTGTCGATTTGCATGTTGTTTCTACAAAGAGATTTCTTCTCAAGAAAACAGTCGGAATGTTTTCTTCTCTCCTTTGAGCATCTCTACTGCCTTCGCAATGCTGACTCTGGGTGCCAGATCAGACACACTGACACAAATTCTTAGGGTCCTTTGCTTTAACCCAAGGGAGATTTCTGAAAATGACATACATGAAGGTTATCGTCAACTCATGCAAATGGTAAACAGAAAGCATGAGGGCTTACAGCTGAATATGGCAAATGTCCTGTTTGTGCTTGACCAACTGAAGCCACAAGAAAAGTTTTTAAGTGATCTCAGAAACTTCTATGAAGGAGAAGCCTATCCTATGAACTTCAAGCAGGCTGCTCAAGCCCAGCAAAAAGTCAACAAATATGTAGCAGAAAGAACCAATGGAAAAATCAAGGACCTTGTGAATAACCTTGATCCACTTACTGAAATTCTCCTCATTAGCTATATTTATTTTAATGGTAAGATACACATACCATATTCTTTTACTTCATAATTTATTTCCTCAGGTCAGTCTTGGACTTCATCGCCTTTTTTTGCAATATCGTTTTGCAGATGGACTCATATCTTGTTTTCCCTTTGGTCCTTACATTTAATTACAAACAAAGTTTCTGAAAATCATATTCTGCCTGACACTGATGATAATTCCTAGCTAAATGCATGGCAAATTTTCCCATATTTTTTAATATATACTTCTTTCCTTCTGAAGATTTATTGAAATATATGTTGAGGAAGGCACCTTTAGTTAGGAAAGATTAGATACTTTCCTAATCCTATACAATCTAGTGGGACTCAAGCACTTTCTTAAATGCTTTGTTGTCTAGGAGTTAATTTGAAATCCAGTTCTGTGGACTTCAGTTGGTTTTTTGTTCAGCAACTTATGAGTTAAATTCAAAAGATGCTGTTAAAATAAAATGTAGCATCTTACCAAATAGAAATAAGTTTACTCCATAGTTTTGCTGTTACTGTGCATGTTCATGTATCCAAAACTAAGCATTCAACAACTTTGGTTTCACTCATGTTCTCCCTAATTTTTTTTTTACTGACTATGCCTTTGCCGATAGTGTGTCTGTAGTCCTGATGTGTCTAGAGGCATAGGTTTCACCCTTTTTTTTTTGATTTGCAGATTCTAATATTTTCCAGTGAAGATGGACCCACCAGTATCAGATACAAGCCTATTGACAATAAGCTTGTTTTTCTTAATTAACTTGTGCAGTCTGCTTAGATACAGTCAACAGATCTTCCCAGAGCTTTTCAGACTGCTGAGCTAATGAGAAGACGAGGATCAAGGCTGTAAGGCTCAATCAGTGGTCTAATAACAGATATTGCATCTTCTTTGAAACCTTCTCTCTCTTAATCCTTATATGTTGAAAACTAGAATCAATTGTACTCAGAAAAATAATATCCTATAATCTATCTGATAAAATACCATTAAGCTTTTTAATTGAAATGGAGATGACATGTTAGAAATGCAATTCTTTTAAAAGGTAAAGCTATTCTTTTAAAACTGTTAATCTGGATAATTGCACTCTCCAATATGAGGGTTTCCTTGAAAGTAATTAAGAACTGTATTTTTGTGTTTTTTTTTTAGTTTTTTATTTGTTTATTTGTTTGTTTTTCATCTGTGTCTCTGCTCCATGTATTAATTCCTGAAGATCTGAGCAGAGCTAAATGGAGCTGAATGAATTACAGATGACTGAGGTTTCTTAATTCTCTTGAAAACATACTTGTTTGCCTCAAATAATGTTTTCACTTAGGTTTTTATTGAGCATCAGACACATCTTTCAAAACAGGCAAAAACCCCTTTGACAAAGGTGTCATCCCTAAAAGGTAGACCCCTAAGAGAGAGGTGAGCATAAGAATAAATGTTCCTTTGAAACATGAGGAAAGTATTAGTGAATATCTTCTCTGTCTATTCTGTGTGTTATGTGATTGTCATGGTTTGGGTGGGGGTGAGGCATCCACAATTTCTTTGGGCAACCCCTTTCTGTGTCTCACCACCGTCACAGTGAACAATTTCTTCCTTATATCTAATCTAAATCCAAATCTTCTCTCTTTCAGTTTAGTCATTCCCCTGTGTCCTATCACTATCTGCTTATGTAAAAAGTCTTTCCCTGTCAGTAGACCTCCTTTAGGTACTGGAAGGGGCTAGAAGGTCCCTCCTGAGCCTTTTTTTCCCTGGGCTAAACAGCCTCAACTCTCTCTCTCAACCTGTTTTCATAGAAGAGGTGCTTCTGCCATCTGATCAGCTTCATGGCCCCTCCTCTGGACTTGCTCCAACAAGTCCATGTCCTTCTTATGGTGGAGACCCCAGAGCTTAATGCAGTACTTTGGGTGGGATCTCACCAGAGTGAAGTAGAGGGGAAAATCCCATCCCTTGACCTGCTGGTCACACTGCTTTTGATGTAGCCCAGGACAGAGTCGGCTTTCTGGGCTGCAAGCGCACATTACTGAGTCATGCTGAGCTTCTCATCAACCAACACCCCCAAGTCCTTTCTCCTCAGGTCTGCTTTCAACTTGACCCATTCTCTGCCCCACCTCTATTTGTGCTTGGAACTGCCCCAATCCACATACAGGACCTTGCACTTGGGCTTGTTGAACTTCACCAGGTTCCAGTGGGGCCACCTCTCAAGCCTGTCATACTCCCATTGGATGGCATACATTCCCTCTGGAGGACATCCCTTTCTTACAACATGTTGACTGCATCACATATCTTGGTGTCATATGGCAAATACACTGAGAATGCACTCAATCCCACTCTTTGTGTTGCCAGCAAAGATGTTGAACAGCACTGATCCTAATCCAACCCTGAGGAATGTCACTTGTGACTGCTCACCTCTTGGACAACAAGCCATTGATCACAACCCTTCAAATGCAACCATCCAGGCAATTGCTTATCCTCCAAAGGGACCATCTGTCACATTCAAATCTCCAGTTTAGAGACAAGGATGTCATGTGGAACAGTGTCAAATGCTTTGCACAGCTCCAGTTAGATGACATCAATTACTCTTCCTTTAGCACAACTTGCCCCTAGTGAAGTCATGTCTGTCACTAGTCACCTCTTAATTTTCCACCTGTCTTAGTATAGTTTCCAGGAGGATCTGCTCTGTGATCTTGCAATGCAAAGAGGCGAGACAGACTGCTAGTTTCCTGGATCTTATTTTTTGTTTTTCATTTTGTTTTTCATTTTTTAAAAATGAGAGCTATTGTCCCCTTTTCCAGTCAGTGTGAATTTCACTGGACTGCCATAACTTCTCTAATGTGATGGATAGTGGCTCAGCCACCTCATCCATCCTCAGGATCTGCAGATGCATTTATCAGGTCCCATGAACACGTGCATCTTCAGGCTCCTTAGATGGTCTTGAACCTCATCTTCTCCTACAGTGGGCAGTTTTTTGTTCTCCCAGTCCCTGCTTTGGCCTTCTGTGACCTGGGTGGTGTGGCTGGAGCACTTGCCAGTGAAGATTGATGCAAAACATGTCACTGAGTACCTCAGCCTTCTCCATGTTACAGGTAACCAGGCTTCCTGTTTCCTTCTGGAGGGGGCTCACATTTTTCCTAGTCTTCCTTTTGTCACTGTCATACCTTTTCTTGTTGCCCTTGATGTCCCTGGCCAAATTTAATTCTATTACACGTTTAACTTTCTTAACTCAATCCCTGGATACTCAGAAAATCTCTTTGTATACCTCCCAGGTTACCTGTCCTTGTTTCCACCGTCTGCAGGTTACCTGTTTGTGTTTGATTTCACCTGGTAGCTCCTTGTTCATCCGTGCAGTCCTCCTGGTGTTTTTGCCTGACTTCCTCTTTGTTAGGACGGATCACTCCTGTGCTTGGTGGAGGTTATCCTTGAATATTAATAGAATCGTAGAATCACAGAATCATTAAGTTTGGAAAAGAATTCCAAGACTATGCCAACCTTTGACTGCACACCACCATGCCAACTAAACCACAGCACTAAGTGCCATGTCCAGTCATTTCTTGAACACCTCCAGGGATGGTGACTTCATTGTGTCTCTCATCACATTCAAATGCCTGACAACCCTTTCAGTGAAGAAACTCCTCCTGCTTCCCAATCTGAACCTCCCCTGGTACAGCTTGAGGGTATTTCCTCCTGTCCTATAGCTAGCTGCCTGTGAGAGGAGGCCAACCCTCACTTCACTGCAACCTCCTTCCACATACTTCTAGAGAGCGATAAGGTCCCCTCTCAGCCTCCTCCCGGCTAAACAGCTGTTTAGCTCCCTCAGCTGTTCTTCATCTCACTTACTCTCTAGACCATTCATGAGCTCCATTGTTCTTTCTGGACATGCTCCAGCACCCCAATGTCCTTTGTGTAGAAAGGGACCCAAAAATGAAAACAGGATTTGAGGTGCAGCCTCACCAGTGCTGAGTACAAGAGAACAATCACTGTCCTGGTCCTGCTGACCATGCTACTGATGATACAGGCCAGGATGCCATTGACCTTCTCGGCCACATGGGCACAGTGCTGGCTTATGTTCAGCGACTGTCAAACAGCACTTCCAGGCCCTTTTCTGCTGGGCCACTTTCCAGCCACTCTTCCAGCTTCATGGGGTTGTTTGGCCAATACAACTTTCTTGGATTCCTCTTCCCTCCATGCTTCATCCCATGATACTCTACCGAACAGACTGCTGAAGAGACAAAAGTCTGCACTCTTGAATTCCAGAGCAGCAGTCCTAACATCCTACTCTGTTTTCAATCAAGAAAAGTTCTTTGTGAAATGAGTGGGTGTTTTCTCTGAGTTGAGCACTAGATAAAGGTTGTTTAAATGTTTCAGGGCTTGTGTCATTCATGTTTCTGTTATTCATTTTGCTTTATTTTTTCACTTAAGCATAATAAGGTAGAAGTCCTGTCTGTTCACAGAAGTCACTGTTAATGAAGAGACATGAAAGTATCAACCTTTGCCTCTTTAGAGTATTGGTAGTTGTCAATCTATACTTTCAGAGCCCAAAACATGCCCTAAATTCTCATTTCACTTTTTCCAAATACTAAGTGCAGGTTATGTCAGATGGTGGAAATAGCAGACAATAATTATTTCATTTGTAACAAGCTGCTTAATGATCAATGTTCAAATAGAAGTCAGAAATCAAAAGTAATTGCATCTTGTTTCGTTGCTTGCTTGATGGCAGTTACTTTACTAAGCAGTGCAGATCTCGTTTTGCCTAAAAAATTTGATAAAATGTTAGTTTTGCTCTTGAAGGTGAAATTTACTACAGACCAAAAACACTTCTGAAAAATAAAAACAAAAAAGAAACCTTTCCAAAACTCCCCACCTTTTTTTAAAATCTGCTCAGCTTCTGAAATGAATGATGTGAATAGGTGGAATTTAGCTTAGAAATTTCTCTCCACTGAAGATAAGAATCTTTTGGAGTTCCAATGTAGAGAGTTTGTTTCACCATGACTAAGTGAGGAGCCTTGTAAAATTTAATATTGTGAGGATGCAGTGGAAAACGTTTCTGTCGTTGTTTTGTTTTTTAACCCAGCAGTCTGGTAGAATTAAGTTCCTCATGACTCTATACATTATCAGCTAATATGAAATATGAACACCTTGTCTCTGAAAGTAACCCAAATTCCTTAATTTCTGTGGAGAATTCATCCCTCATATCACCCTTCTCAAGCCTATTTTTATCTGGGAATAAGGAAAGGGAAGAATCTTCTTCAGAGCTCAGAGGCAGAATGAGGGCTTTACAGACTCCTTAAAACGGTTGTCATGGCAGAAAAATGCAAGTTTAGAACCCTTGATATGTCATATAAATGAAGGATATTGCAGCCCACTGCAAAATCTGAGGGAGTTTTTTTACATCACATTCTACCTACTGTGTGTTGCTATTAAATTATTCCGAGTATTTAGTAAGGTCAAGAGATCTGATTTGCGAACTGATTTGTCTTTGAAGCTGATCCAACTGTACCAGTTTCTGTCATCTAAGAATATGTTCTGTGGGGATATATCCTATGGTTTCATGTCCTCAAAATATATTCTAACTCAATCTCTTCTATTTCAAGCTGAATGGGAAAAACCTTTTGATCCACAATACACTAAAATGGGCAAATTCTTTGTGGATGGGAACAAGGCTGTGGAAGTCCCGATGATGTTTGGAATGGGCCTGTTCAAGCATGGCTATGATGATCAGCTGTCTTCCACTGTGGTGCAAATGGATTACAAAGGAGGTGCTTCAGCATTTTTTATTCTGCCTGATAAAGGAAGAATGAGGAAGCTGGAGAAAAGATTGTCTTGTGAACATATGTCAAGGTGGAGGTCATTAATCACAAAAAGGTAAAATTCTGAAGTTCTTGGTTCACATGGTAGGCAAGGAAACAAATGTGCTGGGCTATGACACAGAATCAGAACACCATTTTTAGTTCTGCTTTATCAGCAGAAGAATTCCCACTGACCAAAGTTGAATCTGGCTCTCTGGTGTCCCTGTGTTTTCACATTCAGTACTGAGTGCACTGAAAACCTTCATAGCTTTAGGACTTCTTTCATTTCTGCAATTTTTTCCCATCTTCAACTCTCAATAGGCCCCTGTTTTTGGACTTGTACCTCTACTCCTGTTTTTGGGGGAGGTCTTCTGCCTTCTATTTACAAGTAAATTCCTTCCATTTCAGCAATTTTTCTTGTCTCTTGCTTCCTTTCTACCTATTACAGTTAACAATAATTTCACAGTTAATGCTGAAATAACAACTTCCATTTGGCAATTATGGGGGCAAAGCACTTTGCAGAGACACTATATTCAGGCTCTCTGAGGTCTTAGGAAGGCAAAATTGGAACAAGCTACACTTTCTTCAAGTTAACTTTGAGCTTAGAAGGCAGAAAGGTTATATGCTTTCTAAAAGTAATTACCATACAGGACTCTTTATATTTAGTGTCCTTTATGGTACTTGCCTTTCATGGGACAAAATACCTTTACAAGCATAGGCAAAATATGTTTATAGTATCAAACCCTTATGCTCATTAATGCATTTGATGTATCAAGTTAGTGACCTTTACACATACTCATTTAAAAAAACTTATTTTAGATGACTCTTTTTCAAAAGAGAAACAGCATCCTAATACAGAAACCCAAACCCAGTGTCATGCTCCTAACTGATTCACTGTTAAATCTTATAAAAAGAATCTAAACTTTTTTTTTTTAATTGGGGGGGGGGGGAAGACCAGGAAAAAAAAATCAATTCTCTGTGCATCTTCACAGTTTTGAATCTTCTGGAAGCAGCTACATAGTTTTTGACTATAGAACAAATAAGATGGTGAATCAAGATACATATGTATAATTTTTTTCAAAGAAACACAATTGGCTTTAAAATTATCAAGAAAGATGCTAAATAAAGTTGAGGGGATTTATGTTTCCTATCTTATAATATAAAAAAGCATCCCTGTTGAAAACAAGTTTGTTTCCTGCTGTTCCTCATTTTTCATGATGATCATTCTCTCCTGCAAACTAATGACAAAAAATCCTCCTTTTACATCTACTTTTCAAAGCAGTTATTTGGCGTCTCTGGGAGGTCTTAATAAATGGGTTTGACGTAGTATGTGGAATGATTCAAAGGCTGTGGGCAAGCTATGTTTATCCCTGTTTCTGTGTCTGCAAACAGATATGAGCTGCAGAAGTGCTGTGAGGGGCATTTTTCGTTACTATTGGCTGCCAAACAGGGGATAGTGCCAAGTGTCACCAGTACAGGCAGCTGAGATCTGTTTAATGGCTGAACTGTGGAGAAAACATCACTTTCACTTCTGAGAAGTGCATCCCAGTGGTTCCTTCCTGATTGCATTGTTACTGTGGCTTTCACTTTCCTCCCTATTGAAAGAAAGTGGGGGCTTGTGAAGGAGTGTTTTTACACAACAGTAAGATAGATGATTCAATGATAATTGCGTCATCATTTGGGACAGCAATCAGCACAGACTGAAATTAGGGAGAACTGAGAGATCAGTAATCAATTATCAATCCTCTAGCACTTTCATTTTTGGGTACCAGCCAGACTTGGCATTAGATGCTGTGCAACACTTCAGGTATGGGCCCTTTCCTTCCCACCTGTCTGCTGGATGTCTTGCTCTTTGACTAGCTTCATTAAGTGCTCCACATCTCCCTGACCTAGAGCCCTGGAGAGTTGTCCTGGTTTCTCACCAGAAAACAGTTCCTAATGTCAGCAGTGTCTCTAACCTCTGTCTTATTATTCTGCTCCTGGCTGTAAATGTTGTGTTTAACCCTTGAAAAGTAATTGATAGATCTGTACGGAAAAAGTAAGGAAGAAATGAGTCAGAAATATAGAGCTTTGTGTTATTTATGGAAAATAGCAAACTAGACACTTAAAATTTAGTGTCAGACACCGGGCTTGACGAAGAAAAATAATTATCTATTGACTATCTATATTATGTCAATGTGCTTTTGTTCTTTACTTTGTCATCCATTCTATCACAATTTATCTTTTTCCTACTCCTTTGGTATATATTTTTGTTTTCTCTGTCCTGATTTATATGACAAATGCACAAGGACAAGAGGTTTTGTTTTGTTTTGTTTTTCCAAAAGTAACCAGTGAACTTGCATGTGTTGGGGTTTTTTTTTGTGCTCAGTGCCTGAGACACATAAAGGAATCTCTTTTTCACAGGGTAAATCCTCTGCATCCTTAATAATGGGTCATGATGAAGGTGCTTCCAGCAGATTGCACAAAAGATCACTTAACTTCTGAAAATGTTAGATGAAGATTCTGAGGGAGTGACAGTTGTATTGTGCTGAATGATCACTAGGTCAGTTTCACTGCTCATGTGTTAGCTTACTGCAAACAGAGAGCCAGCGACTACAGCCTTATCCTCTCAACCAGCCTTAGAATCATAGAATCATAGAATCAGATGGGTTGGAAAGGACCTCTGATATATTATAAATCTTCTTTTCTTCTCCCTAAATTAATGCCAGTGTGCATCTCCTATATAGGCTAGAGAGAGCCTGCAGGAAAAGTATCTTGAGGGAGAAAGCAAAATCAGTTTCCCTTGTGAGTCTATGTTATTCTGTGATATGCGATCAAGTGTTTCACTATACTCTTGTACTTCTTTTCTGGCAGCTCAGTAAATTTGTATCTTCCGAAATTCACTCTTTATGGGACATATGACTTAAAAAATACCTTATATAAAATGGGCATTATGGATCTATTCACTGATAAGGCTGACCTCTCTGGGATCACTGGACAGCCCCAGCATAGAATTTCCCAGGTAAGTCATACTGCTTTTTGTTTTATGGTCCATGGTTACTGATACTTGCATCACTTTTTGTACAACTATTTGTGATGCAAAACTCATGTAAAGAGGCTTGGCTTGACAGGAAAAGGTAGTTGTTGGCATACAGAGTATTTGGTCCATGCAGTGTAAGTGCAGTTGGGTTGGAGCAGGTTAGAAGTCTGTAATTTTTTAATCTAGAACACAATTTTGGCCTGCATGGGGCAACCTTATAAAACAGACCTGACCAAATCGCCACCTATCCACACATCGGTACCCTCCTGCACTGTGCTGTTACAGTCACTGCTGCTTCTGTTTGTGTTTGTCTTCTTTAACCTGATTGTGGGGCAAGCACGGAGCTATAGGATGTGTCACCACTTGTGTTTTATGGAGGGGAGAGGAAAAAGACTGCTTGGTTTTAAACTGTTTAGGGGAAAGGAAAATGCAATTAGTATAAACATTTGGCTTCAAGCCTAGGAACAATGACTCTCATTAGTGTCAGGCCAAGGTAAAAGCTGCAGACAGGTCACACTTCAATGAACTCAGAGTTTAAAGATGACAACCAGTGCAACTTTAATTGTCTAATGTGAAGAAAACAACTGCCCTCATGACCTCAGGAGGACATTAGTGAATCAGGATCTGCCAATGTCTTGACTTTGCAAGGTAAAACTTATGTTTCTCTGCTCTAGCCCTCCAATTCTGGCTCTTCTCCTTCACTACCATTATTTCCAAGACATGAAGAAACATAGGAAACATATTTTCAGAATTTTATTAATTGTGCTAGTCTGCCTGTTATTTCTTCAGCTATATGAACTTTTAATAGGCAGTTACATACAGTCTTGCTCTCCTAACATTTGGTCTAGCTGTAAAGATCTCCACGAGTGGGTGCAGGGAATAAGAAAAGAAACAAAGCAAATGTTTTCACTAGCAGGGACATGCACCTTCTCTGGATACAAACTTTTTTCCTGTCTGGGACTAGAAAGTTGTGCTGCATGTAGCATGGTGATTCTTTTTCCACTTTGCTGTCTTTATGCAGTGGACTCACACCTGTCCATCCGATGCTTGTTTCTTACCAATAACTTCTTCAGGCACTTTTACGTCCTGTTCTTATTCAGGTGACTATTTTTGTACCTCCTTGACTTGTAACGTGTCTGTTTCTTCACAGGCTATTCATAAGGCTGTGATAAAGGTGGATGAGACTGGCACCGAAGCAGCAGCTGCCACAGGCATGGAAATAGTGCCTATGTCCGTTCCAGTTATGATTAAATTCGAGAGGCCATTCCTAATCGTCATAACTATGGAGAGCAATATACTTTTCATGGGAAAAATTGTGAACCCTCTGAGAAGAGATTAAGTTAATGTACATATTACGTATGTGTTGATCAGCACTCTTAAATCAAGTATTTGATCTGATGAGTATGGCATGGCTACAGAGGGGCTCTCTGCCTCTTAACTGATATTATTCACTGATATTATTCATCAATTTGTGTTGTCATAGTTGCATGTTTGTTTGGGCCTTGCTTTTTTTTTTTTTTTAAGAAGGTTGCATTCAGGCAGAACTGTCATTAGCTCTGGGACAAAATAGGCCTGTGTGATACTGACAGCATAGATACATTTTCTAGCAGGGAAGCTGAAGAGCATATGGGTGGAGAGAGTTGAGTATGTCTGCTTCTTCCCTCATGGCTGCCTTCTCACATTTTTTTTGTGTTGACTGACAAATGGGTACAAGTTATATTACTTTATTACTTGTGTCCCTTCTCCTACCAACATGAAGTTTGTAACTAGCATAGACCTTAGCATCCATAATGCTTACTACCTTGCATAGTACCATTGTTGTCCAGTGGGTCTAATACATCGTTGCCCTTCAGCTGTTGTCCCAGCTTGGCTGCTGCAAGGGGGTCTCAAAGAGGGTGTGTTTTCCCCCTGCAGATATGTACTGGCCCACCCACTGTTTCTGTGAAATGTACAGTTCAGACTCATTCCAGGGCAAACCTTAGAGGTTTTAAGAACTTGGTCTAAGAAAAGAAGAAGTAAATCTGATCTGCAGTGCAGTGCCCAGGAACCAGCGTTCGTGAACCAGATATATAGCTCAGAGCAGTCAGAAGACTACTTCTAGCCTATGCCTGCACCTAAACTAGCTTCTAGAAGTCCCCAAGCAGCAGAAAGCATAAGCCTTCTCCTCCTGGTGCCAGTGTCTGTACCATTACTGTCTATACCTGGGAGATTACCCATGGTAGTAAGAGCCATTCCAGTATTGTTTGTAGGATCAAGCACCCTACCAGTAACACCTATATCCCATCAGTGACGCTTACCGTGTCTCTTGATACAACCCCTTCTGTTCCCAGACTGTCCTGTACTACAACATTGGTACTCTCTTTCTCATCTGCTTTATGGTTAGTATAGCCACAATATTATAAAGAGTTGTTTTCACTATTAAGATACACAATACTCAAAGTCACATTCATAATGAACATGCTTATTTTTCTCCTGGTTTTCTTTCTTATCTATGCTTTTTGTTCTCATTTTCACAACATCTATCATTATTTTATTTCTCTGCTCATGTTCATGGTATATGTCTGATCTCTGGTTGCAGGAGGGGTAAATTATTGACTAAAATGGGTTAATCTGTTAAAAGGTATTAAGCATTAAGACCAGTCTTTGTACAGTCTTGAAATATGCAGACAAATGTACTACGGTAGAACAACATCAATGAATAAACATGACATTAAAAAGCTTCTAATTTTGCCATTTTACTTCTGTAGTTCAGAGTTAAGACTTAAGTACTGTTCAAGCAGGTTTTTTTGACAAATGTCAACAACCAGTTATTAGTTTACTGTTCATATACATTAGATCGACACAGTAGTAGTAATGCCAGTAAATGAGTTTCAGAAAGTCCTCTGTCTCTAGCCTGGGCAGTAGGTTATCTCTGTTAGGCAGAAGACTTTGTGAAGGTTAAGCATTCCTTTGATGCAGAGATATTTATTTCAAAGCCTATAGAGAGCATGCTGCTTCTACTCTATCAAGTGTGTAGCTTCTGTGTGTCTCTTATCTCTCTTCTAAAAAGTCCTCTCTTGACTCCCTTGACAAAACTCAAGGGAATGGCCTGAAGCTGTGTCAAGGAAGGTTCAGGTTGGGTGTTAGAAAAAGGTTCTTCACCCAGAGGGTGGTTGGGCACTGGAACAGGCTCCCTAGGGAAGTGGTCACAGAACTAAGCCTGACAGAGTTCAAGAAGCATTTGGATGATAGTCTTGGACACATGATGTGACTCTTGGGAATGATCCTGTGCAGTGCCAGGAGTTGGACTCGATGATCCCTGTTGGTCCCTTCCAACTCAGCATATTCTGTGATTCTGTCTTGGCATGTGTTTTGAGCTGTGTTTCCTGTCATTCCATAAACAAAATACAGCCTGTCTAGATTATACCTTTTTTATAATAGATTATGACAGGGAAACAAGAAAAGCGCTTAGAAGCTGTCAGCTTTCTGTAGGGGAAACCACTTCCAACTTAAAATCACAGTGAAGAAAAATTAATTTCTGTAGCATTCAAATAAAGCAATAAGGCAAAATAAATGTAGTGTTTCCCAAACTGAAAATCAGTACCTACATCACTGGATCCATAACAAACCTTGACTGAAGATACTTTTCTACAGGTTCTTACAGTTATTTGCATTTCACATCAACCTAGAAGCACTTGCTTTGCTAGGTCACAAATAGGTTTCTGACGTAACCAGACCTTGCAGCTTGCTTTCCTGTAAAAAGGTACATCATTCCATTTTGAAGTAAATCCAAGAAACCCTAACTTGAAAAGGGAAAAAAAAAAAAAAAAGGCACAGTTGCACAAAAAACCTAAATTAGAATTAGGAAGAAAAATTTCACAAAATGGAAACCATTATCAAACTAGTGAATGCCCCCTTGCAAAAAAAAAAACCAACAAACCACAATCCCACAACATCAAATATAAAACTGTAATAAGAAAGGACAAGGCAAACTTTGAGGAAAAGAAATTTGCAGAAGTCATGTCACATGATAATATATTCTTTTTCAATTACATCATTTTATAAAGCCTGAGGGGCCAGTGGATGTTCAAAGTGTAGAAGTGTACGGGTGGGGGCACTGGCAAAACAGAAAAGCTCAATTCATTGCATATGTGCTTCCTTTGCAGTCTGAACCACTATTCCAAGTTAAACTAACAATAGGAGAGTTTTCAGGGGGAAAAAAAAGTAATCAAAGAGCAGATAACAACAAATTGTCAAGACTGTTTAGTATGCATGCAAGAGATCTTAGGTATTTCAAGAAGAAAAATGTTAAGCTTTCTACTTTGATGCAACAGTTAAATTGTCTCTGTACCAGAGTAATAAGAAGTGACAGATGTGATGTTCAGTATTTTCAAAGAGATGCAAATGAACATACAGTGAGTTGCAGAACAGTTAGTTCAACTTCGCTTTTTGGGAAAATGCAGAATCTGTAGTTATGTACTATGAATAAGTATGACAAAATACTGAAGAACTAACATGATGATCATAAAAATATAGAATATTTTAGGCTGGAAAAGACCTTTAAGGTCATTTCCATCCCTTAACCCAAATCTGTCAAGTCCACCGCTAAACCATGTTCCTATGTGACACGTCCACACATCTTTTAAATACAGCCGGAGATGGTGACTCCATCATTTCCCTAGGCAGCCTGTTGCAGTGTTTGACAACCCTTTCAGTGAAGAAATGTTTCCTAATATCCAATTTGAATCTCCTCTGGAGCAACTTGAGGTCATTTCCTCTTGTCCTATCGCTTGCTGCTTTCAAGAAGAGACTGATCCCATCTCGCTACAACCTCCTTCCTCCTTTCAGTTAGTCATAGAGAGCAAAAAGGTCTCCCTTCAGCCTTCTTTTCCCCATGCTAAACAACCCCAGCTCCCTCAGCTGTTCCTCATCTGACTTACTCTCTAGACCCTTTGCCAGCTTTATTGTCCTTTTCTGGACAAGTTCCAGCAGCTCAAGTTCTGTCTTGTAATGAAGGGCCCAAAAATGAACACAGGATTTCAGCTGTGACCTCACCAGCGCCCAGTACAGGGGCAGGATCACTGCCCTGGTCCTGTTGGCCATACTATTTCTGATACAAGCCAGAATGCCATTGGCCTTCTTGGCCACGTGAGCACACTGCTCACTCATGTTCAGCTGGGTGTCAGCCAGCATCCTAGGTCCTTTTCCACTGGGCATCTTTCCAGCCACTCTGCCCCAATTCTGTAGCACTGCACAAGGTTGTTTTGACTTGATGCTTAGGGAGACAGTGTCAGAGGTTTTACTAAAGTCCAGGTAGACAATACCCACAGCCATTCCCTCATTCACTTAGCTGGTCACCTTGTCACAGAAGGAGGTCAGGTCGGTCAAGCAGAACCTGCCTTTCATAAATGCTTGCTGGCTGGGCCTGATCACCCAGTTGTCCTCTGCATGCTGTGTCATGGCACTCAGGAGGATCTGCTCCATAACCTTTCCCAGCACTGAGGTCAGGCTGACAGTCCTGTGCTGCCCCAGATCCTTCTTCTGGCCCTTCCTGGAGATGGGCATTGCATTTGCCAACCTGCAGTTGCCTAGGACCTCCCTGGTTAGCCAGAACTGCTGATAAATAATTGAAAGGGGTTTGGTGAGCTCTTCCAAAAACTCCCTCAGTATCCTTGGGTGGATTCCATCTGGCCCCGTAGATGTGTGTATCAGGTTGTAGTAGGTTGCTGACCACTTTCCCTTTGGTTATGGGGGCTTCCTTCTGCTCCCCATCCCTGTCTTGCAGCTCAGGGGTCTGGGTAGCCTGAGAACAACTGGTCTTACTATTAACAACTGAGGCAAAGAAGGTACTAAGTGCCTCAGCCTTTTCCTCATCCATTGACACAATGTTCCCTCTCACATATAGTAAAGGATGGAGGTTCTTCTTAGATACTTCTTATTGCTAATGTATTTATAGAAATATTTTTATTGCCTTTTACAACAGGAGCCAGAATCCTTTGCCAAAAATTCTTTGAAAGTGTTGATCTGTCCATGTGTTATAACGATTTGATTGATATATGTTACATACTTCTGAAAGCATATAATATTCCCCAGGGAAGGACCTAAAAAAATTTGTAAGCTAGTGAGGGAGAAAGACCCTTAATAAGCAATGAGTTCAGGCATGCATTATTCAGGGAAGTCAGAGATGATGTGGGACTTTAATAGATTGTGAAGTGACAGATTTTCCCAGTGGTTTCACCTTTTTCATTGGGAATAATCTCACAGTACGCAGTGACTGGCTGACAAAATGTCAGAGGAAAATCACTGTCAGGAAATATAAGGCAAAGAATACAAGAAAAGAAGTCCTTGGTTTATATTTTGCACGATGGTCTCAAGCTAGTCATTGCCACTCAGGATAGATACTCTGTAGTGATGTTGGTTAGGCCACTG